AATCTGGTTGTACAAGGACTTCTAAATCAACTAAGTGAGGCCGGCTTCCACGTCATCGGTTTTGCCGATGATGTGGCAGTTGTTGTGAAAGGCGGATTTCTGAGGGTGCTAAGGGACCTGATGGCAACAGCCTTNTTGCTTCGAGACAAACTGCAAGCTTATCCCGAAAGGGCCGCCCACTGAGACTCCTTGGTGGTCAGAGAGGCTCGGTGGGCTGAGGGGCAAAGCTAGAAAAGCTTTTAACAAAGCTAAGAACATGAGAGCGGGCCCCCGTAAGGAAGACGCATGGAAAACTTACAGAGGCTTGCTCGCAGATTACAACAAGGCAATAAAGGCAGCCAAAGAGGACTGCTGGAGGGCTTTCACAAGCAATGTGGAGAGTCAATCGGAGACCTCTAGGCTGGCAAAAATCCTTGGAACAAACAAGACTNATGGTGTAGGGTAACTGGCCTATTGGTAAATCCAGCCAAGACAACAATCCTGGTTTTCACCAGAAATTATAAACTGAAAAAGATCCAACCTCTGAAGCTAAATGGCTCGGAGATTAACTACACCAGGAGAGTGAAATATCTGGGTGTCCTCCTGGATAATAAACTCAGCTGGAAAGAACATATCTGTACTCAGAGAAATAAAGTGTTTGCCTCTATGTGGGCATGCAGGAGAGCTGTGGGCAGGACATGGGGACTCAATCCTAAAATGATGCTCTGGCTCTACCAAATAGTTCTACTTCCGAGACTGTTATACGCTGCGGTCGTTTGGTGGCCGAGGGTGAGTAAGACGGAAACAAGGAACCTGTTGAAAAGCCTACAGGGAACCTTCCTGAGGGCTGCAACAGGAGCCATGAAATCGACACCTACTGAGGCGCTAGAAATAGCACTCAGTATCCCACCCCTCGACCTTAGGGTTGTGAGTTGTGCTACCACAACTGCATATAGACTAAGGTGCCAACTAGAATGGAAGATGACGGGCCAAGGCCATACAAGGCTTAGCCTAATCAATGATCGACCCTTCATAGGTAAGACGGATAGGATTCCTAGGAAGTATCAGATCAGGAAAACTTTCAGAACGAGTATACCACCCAGACAGGAGTGGCTAGACTCGAAACGTAAACCAGGACCAAGAGAGGACTACTGGTTTACGGACGGCTCTGGCTTCAATGAAAGTTTTGGGGCAGGCATCTACCGTCTGAAAGATGGCTTCGGAGAGAGTTTTCCGCTGGGCCATCATTCAACCGTCTTTCAAGCAGAGATGCTGGGCATACTTAAGTGTGCAGAGTATCTGAACGCGAGAGACACAAAAAAGATGAAAATATTCATCTGCAGTGACAGCCAGGCGGCGATACACGCCCTGGAAAAACCCACTACAGAGTCACAGGTGGTGTGGGAATGCATGCAGGCATTGGACACACTGGGTAAAAACAACCGGGTCACCGTAACCTGGGTGCCAGGTCACCATGGGATTCTGGGTAATGAAGAGGCAGATAAGCTGGCCAAGGAGGGTACAGAAAGTGTGCCCTCACACGGCCTGCTTGGCATGCCCTTCGCAGTGGGAAAAACTCTTATTAAAGATCATTTCCAGCGGGATCATGTCAGGCGTTGGGAGAAAGTTGCGACCTGCAGACAAGCGAAACTGCTTATGAGAGGGCAACTAAGAGTTAGGACCAGAAAGCTTCTGGAGTTGCACAGAGGGGATCTGAGGGTAGCAGTAGGGCTCCTTACGGGTCATACAGCTCTCAGAGCTCATCTGTTCAAGATGAAACTTGCAGAACAAGAAGACTGCAGACTGTGCGGAGGCGATAAGGAGGGCGTCATCCACATTTTATGTGAATGCCCCCTATTAGCACTCCGTCGCTATAAAATCTGGGGCCAGGCTTTCCTGAAACCAGAGGACTTACAACAAGCGGCTGTCACCAGCCTTATTAGCCTAGTGAGAAACACAGGGCTGGGGCTGTGTGACTGACCGAAACTAAAGCGGAAGTTACAAAAGATCGTATGATTTAGGTGACTCTGGACGCTTTAAGTGACCAGCCGCACTTTTTCTATTCTTCTTCTATTTTAAATCTTCAACAAGCTATAGTGACCAGTGACGAACAAATCCAGACAGAATAATTATCTTGATATTCCAATATTCTGTTAGTTAGTCATTTCCATTATCGCAATATCCCGTTAAAGAATCAACGTCTTGTCTAGCCTCTCTTCACATTTAAATCTCTCGTATAGAGGCCATACTCGTTTTAACAATATCGATATTCTTTACCATCAGGAATTTTTCATTTCTTAGGTTTATCATTGACTAGTAATTTTCCGTTAGGACGACCGTACCCAAGCCGAAATACTCGATTAATTTTCAAGCACGAGGGGTATTCGGCGGATTATTCTCCCCATTCAAATCTCGATCAATGGGAGCTGGGTTTTGATATTTTCGTGGTATAATAAACAATTTTTTATTCAATATTCAGTTAGTTTCATCGTGATACAATTCAGTGCACGGAAAAATGGAAAGACAAATTATTGATGCATATGCAAATTTGTGTAGTTAAAAATACTGTAGCGTATTTGTTCTGTTTCCCTCTCTCTCTCTAATCGACCCAGAGACTCGATCTTCTCTGTTTTTGATAGATAGTTTGTCTTTTATCTTTTCTTGTCTTGCACGGTTATATTTCTTTTTATATCGCCCTATTTATTTAATAAACCCTTTTAAATACTAAAGAAGGGTTATTATTCATTACAATACAATTATTATAAGTGTAGATAGGCTGGTCAGGTAAGGAGAGGATTAGCATTCGTAGGTGCAGGTACAATATTCTGCTCATTTGAAGGGCCATCTCGATGCATCCGTTTTACGAGCTGTGCATGGTGTCCTTCGTCTAGTTGGAGATATGGTTTGATGGAGTTGACGTTGGAGTGAGCCATGATCTTGACGATTTGCTGCTCCCCAACACCAGCTTTAGCCAAGTTGGATACTGCAATTGCTCGACTCGAGTGATTGGTGATTTTTGTACCTTGAGTGTCCCACCCTGCCTTCTTGGCAGCCTCATTGATCCATGTCCCCAGCAAATTGTTCCCAACAGGAGCATCCTTGTACCATTTTCCAATGGGGATTGACGTTTAGAAATAACCTCTCCGTCTTGACACTACTGCCTCTTTTAGACTTGAGCATTTTTAGCAGTCGCACCGGGCAGTTCTGCGGATTTTCATCATTCGGGACGAGCCATTTGCTGCTCGCACACTTCTTATCCCCTCCCTGGGTAGTTTTGGCGAATATGGGGTTACATTCAATCCTGCCGTTTTCATCAATGGTTTCGAGAGAATCTTCTCCAAATCGCCCTTTTTTTCACTCATTCTTTCAAATGTCACTACTTTTTGATGTTTTTTCAATTGTCTCGGGTTAAAATTCTGCGAAAAACTTTTGTTTATTGCTTAGCAACAGCCGTGGTATAACCGAAAATTATCGATATCATACGCACCACGTGATGTCAAATCCCGCGCCCCTATTGATCGAGATTTGAATCGGGGGAATAATCAGCTGAATACCGTGTTAACTATATGAAATAACAGTCGAATAGTGAAATTTTATTGGCTGACATTTGGATGAGGAAAATTCCCAAAAAAATAACTGCTTGATTCGAATTTGAAAGTCCAAAACATGAACAATTGTTCTGCTTTCAACAACAATGAAATATTTGGCTCAAGAGGCGGATCATTCGTACCAGACGGTATGAACGCCTTTTCAGGATAAAAATATCGTTTATAGAGGGAACTTCATCAAGAAATATTTTGTCCCTAAGGTATAAAATTGCTGTTATATCATTATTATTATTTCATTTACGGCCCGCGTGTATTATCTTTCGAACGTGATCTTGGTTGTTTTTTTTTTATTTTGATAATCTTAAATGTTGTTCAATAGCCGTTCAGTTTTACATAGCCCTGGAGTCTTCAAAAATTATGATTGTATAATAAAAAAAACGCTGAAAAAGAAACTGAAAATTTTCAAAGAGCGGTTTTGAATAATATTGGGAACTAAACTCAATAGGAACGAAATTGCAAATTAATAGTTTACAGTATATAATCGCTGTTCAGTCGTCATTTGTCTCAGTAGCCAATGTCTGTTAGATCGTTAGTTGCCATGATAAGTTATCCATTTACAATTTCCTCTCTGTCGGACTTTTTTCCTGATGTTTATTAAAAATGCTTTTTGAAAATGTTCAGTTTTTTTAAAACTTTTTTTGATTGTGCAATCATAATTTTTAGGGACACCTAATATCGATATATTTTAGATTATGAAGATGGAAAAACAATTGAGATAATGTTCGAAAGATAATCCATCGGAGCCTTAAGAATTCATTTTTTGGCAGTGATTTTTGAATAGCTGAAGCGACAAAGTACTATCCCTCGTTTCATGTAAAACGAGCATTTGCCGGGAGTAAAATAGGTATGGGAGCATCGAATAACGAAGAAGTAGTGCGAGAAATTACATTTCTTACTTGCACAGAGAATAAATTTTTTTAGAAAAGACTAAATCTATTTTGGTAATCAAAATTTTCAATCTCGGCGTACGTTTCGTATGTTTGGCACAAAAAAATCCTTTTTTGATCATTTTTTATAAACTACTTTTTTGGCAAAAGTAAGACTTGTTTGAGAGCTCTGCTGTTTCTCTCACTGCTGAATTGGATTAAAATTCTCAAAAGTGAACACACTCGCAGCTGTTACTTGATTTTCAAAAAATTTCTGGCAAAACAGGAATAAAATTTTTAAAAAATTCTCTTTACCTGCAAAATTATTATCATCATGTCCGTATCCTCCATTCACCAACAGTGCCTCCTCACAAGGAGGAGGGCGTGGTGGGGGAACATACTCAGGTGGCAGAATAGCCACACCGTTGACCCCGGAATCCATTCTTTTCATTCCATCAGACGAATTAATTCTTCTCGAGTCGGTGTTCACATAAAGAGGTACAATGCTTTGAATCGGGCTTCCCTTGCCCTGCATCTGGTCCTTCAGGAGCTGTTGTTTGAGCTGGTGCTGTTGTATCTGCTCCCTTAATTGTGGTGATATCGCAGTGATGTGATTTTGCTGTGCATCACAATGGTAAGACTGAGAACGACCAGGTTGTATCAAATTAATTGGCTGAGCTGGACGATTCACGGATGTGGGCGAGTAACGAGCCGCCGGAGGGTCTTTGTACTGTGGGGAAGGTATGTGCTGATGTGGACTGCCGTTTTGACGATTCCTAGGGGACATTGAGGAAGTTGAACTCGACGGTGAGTCCAGACCGTGATCTAAGGTCATTCCTGAATCTAGATCGGTTTCTAGCCATGAACTTTGAGCTTTTTTCTTTGGATGGTAGACTTGAGGAGCTGGTGAGACTGAAAAATTCAATGAGAAAATATAACATGAGCAGAGACACGCCAAATCACCAGGACAAAAAAGTTGATGCTGGGGATTTTCGTTTCAATTTTTTTCTGAAAAGATGGCGATTAATCAAAAATTTTGAAAATAAACAATTGAAAAATATGGATAATTGAGGGAGTTATGATTTTTTGAAAACTGATAGTTTTTGTCCAAAACCAATTTTTTTTTCCAAATTGGTCTCAATATCTCGGCAGCTTTTCAAGCTATGAAATCACCTTTTGATGCACTAAAAAAGCATGAAAAGCCCTTCAAAATGAGACGTCATACATAACATTGTATTCAGTGCAACGGGGTTTGTTCGAGAAACGTTTTTTTTATCGTTAATTAGTCAAAGAGCTAATTTTTTAAAAATTTGAATTTTTCACCAACAATTATCAATAAAATGTACAGAATCTTGGCGCCAATAAGAGTTTGTCTGTCGCCGTAGTTCAGCGATTATTAATTTTTTTATTGAGACAAGGATTGAAAATGATCGAAAATCGATATTATTCATACAATTATCGCCGAACCAAGTAGATATTCAATTAGCACTCCGTTGGTCGCACTGTGGGCGCCGCACCGCATTTTTCCTGATTTTTTAAATTACACTGCAGTAAAGCCTCAGAAAAATTTGAAAAATTTGACATCTTATTTTGAAATGTCTAGAAGGCCTATCAATGAAAAAAACCGTCAAAACTATCATAAGTAGTTAGATTTTCTAGTTTTTATTTAGAAACTCCTGGCCGTGTACCGTGTATAAGGCGAATTTTCAGAGAAACATGGCAAATTTGAGCTGGAATGTATAATTAAGAGTAACACTGAACAAAAAGAATTTCACGGGACTTCTTCAAGTATATCATCAAAATCACTCTTGATTTTTTTCAGATTTTTCTTACATCTTTCAAATTTATCATTATGTCGATTTCTGCTGGTGCGGCGTAGCGCTTACGGTGCGACCAATAGCGTTCGTAACTTTTGCGCGACCAACGGAGTGTTGAATATTAATAAATGGCGGAGGTTAGACTTATTATATTCCATTATTCATCTTCAGTAGGATTTTTTGAGTGAAAAATGATTCTTTCTCTAATTACTCAATGGAAATATATTTTTCAAAGAGCTTTCATTTATTGGTAATCGAGAATTTAATTGAATTGACTCATTTTTAATTATTCAATTGAATATTCACACATTTGGAGGATAATTGTATAAATAATAGCGATTTTCGGTCATTTTCGATACTTGTCCCACTGAAAACAGGTAGGCGACTGCAGCCATGTGGCTGTACATATTCTACTGAGTAGGGCGTCTATTCTTTTCTCGCCATCAATATATTGATTGCGGGCTTGCAAATGGATGCGTTTATATCTCGAATATCTCGATTTTTACTCAAGTTAGGACGCGAACAAGGATTTCAAGTCAAAAACAGAAAAAACTACATCTCTCAAAAACTTTGTATGAAAGGGTATATATATTTTGATTGACTGAGATAGAGGACATCATGCCGAATATTTTGAAAAAAAAAAATTGAAATCGGTTGGATATTTTTCGAGATATTTGCGGGAAAAGGTTAAAAAACGAATGGATATTGCTCAAAAACTAATGGACGGATCAAGCTGAAGTTTGACATGGAGTTAGTTTTAAGTTATACCAATTAACTGAAAAAATTTCAAACTTTTTGGAATGATTTTTCCCGTTTAATTATCAAATTGACGAAAAAATGACCACCGACTGGACAGTGTCACGCACAGACATGGTCCCCAAACTTCGTATTTTTACGTTTCAGACTATTCTGCATCATTTCCAAGCTAAATTAGAAAATGTGAAAATCAGACGATAGCAATGCTTCCATTCGGAAGCAAAAATAATAACCGCCGGACTACCGTCAAAGACAAACTCTAATTGGCGCCCAAACTCCTTTCATTTTATTGACCATTTTTGGTGAAAATTTGTGATTAAAAAAAATTAGCTTTTTAAGTAATTAACCATTGAAAAAAAAACGTTTTCGCGTATAAACCCCGTCAAACTGAAGATAATGCTATGTGTGATGTCTTATTTTGAAGGGTTTTTCAATTTCTTTGCGTGTGCCAAACAGCGATTTGAGAGCTTGAAATCCCGCCGAAATATTGAGGTTAATTTGGAAAAAAAATTTTTAGACAAAAACTATCCTTTTTCAAAAAATCATAACTCCCTCCATTATCAACATTTTTCAAATTTTCCAAATTTTTGTCTAATCGCCATCTTTTCAGAAAAAAATTGAGACAAAAATCCCCAGCATCGATTCTTTTGCCTGCTGATTTGGCATCGATCTGCTTATATATAGAACATTATATTATACAATATCATAATTACATTTTCTCACTATTGAAGATCCTTTGGTATTCGATACCATTCTATAGCTCGCGAGTAAACGATCATTATACTTGAAATTTCATCGCTCGAAATTTACGAGAATTAGAGATTAATTAAAGTTTATATTGAAAAAAAACAATGAAACGTATATGCCGGATTATACTGTCATCCGTAACATATATGTGTCATGATGGGCATTGACACATGTATGCTACTCTTCAATAACAGACTGGAATCATTGCAATGTTCAATTCTGATGGAACAGATTTACCATATCGCATGTTGGAAGTAAAACTGTAATAAAGTGCAAATTTTCGGAGTAAATAGTGCCGGTTTCTATGAAGTAGTTTTCCCGGAATCTATTGAAAAAATTGCAAAACTTTCGACGTAAAATTTTTCACATAAAAACCATAAATCACCTGCTTGCTGCTGATTAGGTCTAATCTGCTGTACTAAACTATGGGACTTTTCCGTCAATTGTCGAACTTGAACACTTAATTCTTGTCTCTGCCTTTGCAGATCACCCACCAACTGCTGGACCCTTCTTAATTCCGTCTCAACAGCAACAGTCGTGCCTGAAGTATCTCTCCTCATGCTCCCCGCATATCTCCTCGAAGCTTGAAGCTTCTGTCTGAGCACCACGAGGTCCTGCTCCAGCCTGGCATTCTCCGCAACAGTCTCCTCCAATTTCTAGAATATTAAAATAACAAACCCATGATTAAATACCTTGACTCGAGTAGAAGGCAAGGTGAATGGAAGCATAACGAGTAAATCATAAATAATGCGCAACGAAAGAAAAACATTCCGCAAGCCATTCTCCACAATTTTGTGATGCATCTGGAGGATTTACCTGGAAAAAAACTGGTTTCCCCTGGAAATAACGAAGGTACATGTTTAATTCAGGGGTCGAGAGGAAGTATAGTAGTGTAAGACAATTATTATCATTCAACATTCACTTTCTCTCAATCCACAACCAAATAGAACTAAACAAAATGGAATAAATGACAACTGATGGAGACCCAAAAAAAAAAATTGCTAAAAATACCGTTTGCTGAGGACAAAAACAGGATAAACAAATGTAGAGGAATTACATGGGAGAAAAATCCGTAACTGACAACAACAAACTCGGTGAACTCAACAACAGATGAATGGAAACACTGATGATGTTTTGTTCCTTCTCTCCCTTTCCGCTCGGCAACATTAATCAATTTAATACGAGACTTTTTTTTTATTATACCTAGATAATACAATTTACCTTGGAATTATGAACAAGTAGCATTCGAACTCGGGCCAACTCTCTCTCCAGTAGAATCTGCTGTTTTTTGTATTTCTCCACTTCAGCAGGATTACTTCTGCTGCCTTGGAGCTTGTATTTCAGCCCTCCCAGTGCCTTCTCCAGTAATTCCTGAAGCAAATAAGGTCACAGTATACCATCTTCTTGCCAAAAATAGAGCTTCAGGGTAAACAGAGAAGGAAAAAAGACGTCGGCGCTAGTGGCGTCAATTTTTTTGCTCCGAGGACTAGGAAGAGGTTACGGAGTCTTTGGTCTTACTCCTGACTTAGGGCGGAGGTACAATAATTAGAGTTTGTCGATCACTTCCACTTTGAATAAATTTTGAAAGATTAAGGTGTTATCGTGGGCTGGCCTAGTTTCCCGATACTTGACGATTGGAAAATTCGAAAATTCATGTTCTCCACGTGGTTAAATAGATTTTTACCTTCATTTACGATTTTAATAAAAATAATTTTAAAGAACAGATGTACTAGTTTTCGGAAACCTTATTCTTCCACAGGTATAGTAGACTCTCGTTATAGTTGCTCTCGTTATTATCGCATTTTTCCTTCATCACTTTTTCGCCAGCGTGAAGTCTTCCCCCACTCCCTACCGCCCTTCACTCTCGAATGTGAACTTATCGATGTTTTCTTAGATGCGCTAGTGTTTTGCCTTTCCAAGAGATCGGTCTCCGTACCAGATACTTTCATACAAGATACTAGGTCTGAGTCCGTGCCGAGTGATACCTCCACTTTCTGGCTTGAATGTTTTTAGTTTCGTATTCTTCGCACAAGATACTCGACAAAGGGGCTAGAATTGGGTGAGGAAGAAGTTGAGATATTGCAGAAATTATTGGAAATATATGCATCTATGATTTAGAACTTAATTGCACATGAATCGGACACTCGTTACAGTTCATAAAAAAAAATAAACGCATTGGTCATAAAACTTAACAAAATATCGATTTTTTTACATGAATGGATAGATGGTACCATGTATTTACGTCCATTTTTTGGATGGACAAATAGACAAAACAAAACAAAAGTCGACCCAATTTTTATGAAAACCAAAATTATAAGGAAAGTCTCAATTTTGGGTTACAGGTCTCTATTAATAAACTAACTCTGCCGAGTTTCTAAATTGTTATTTTGAAAAGGAACACTACTTCTAATTAAACATCTATTTTTCACATCAGGAATCATACTCAAATAATCATGAAAGATGGGAATCGTCTAGTATCTAGTACGAAGAATATCAAATCAAAATTTTTTCACCTCTGAGCGCAAATAAATTGGGGATATCTAATTCTCGGAATTTGATTCCGCTACAGTCCCTGGGGTATCTTGTACGAAGATTGGAGTGTACTCTGATAGTAGATTTTCGAAAACTCGGCGCATGGTGGGGGCAGAGAAATATAGTCGTATTCGTCGAATCGACTTCTCCTACAGCCCCAGGCGCGCAACTTTAACGGAAAAGTTTACTCTAATTTCAATGTCTCAGCTATCGGCCATCTAACAGAGCCAGCTTACGGACGTGTTCTGTAAATGGAGATTGACTTTCCGGAAACTAGTATATCAACGGCAATTAACTTCTAATAAGGCTCAGAATGAAAGTTTTAATATATTTCGAGTAAGTATTGAAAATTATCGATTAATTACTGGAACCCCTTAATTGAAGTAATAGACTTTAGTCCAAGTTTAAAAAGACTACGCTCAAGTTCATGTGAATTCTCATAATAATTTTCAAATTATGATTCACTCGGATAAAAACGTGTTGTAAAAATTGTCTCGAAGATCACTAAAAAAAATCCATGTAACGTCTTTTGTCACTGATCTATTCGGCTATATTTTAATTATAACTGTACTTATTGGTATACCTATGCATATGTTCATGAGTATACTTATGCATATGTATAAGCATTACTAGATCTCTACCTATAGCTATAATAATAGTTAGTCGTTGCCAGGAGAGGATGATCTTTGCGTTTGCTCGGCTTTCATCCCATTTTCATACCTTTGTAAAATATTCATTTTTTGTACATATCTTGCAGCATGTTTTACGTCCATTTTTTTAGATGGATAGATAGATAGAACAAAGCAAAATGCAACTCAATTTTTATGAAAACCAAAATTTCCATGAAAGTCTTAATTTTGCTTCGCAAGCCCCTATTAGGTAATAAAGCAACTTATTCCGAGTTTCTAAATTGCTATTTTGAAAAGAAGCATTGCCTTTTAGTCAAACATACGCGTTTCACCTCAGGAATCGTACTAAAATGATCATGAAAAATGTAAATCGTTTAGTATCTTGTGCGAAGAATATCAAATACAAATATTTTCCCCTCTGAGAGCAAATAAAGTGGGGGATACATTGTTAAAAATTTTCAGTTATAATATGCCGAGTGCTTGAAAATTATTGACTATTTTCCGAAAGTTTCATTGCTTAGCAACATGTGCGTGAAATTGGCGGTATTGGCGGATTTTGTGCCAAACTGCACGCGCATGTTACTAAGCTGGGAAACTTGAGGGAAATACTCGATTAATTTTCAAGCACGAGGGGTATTCGGCGGATTATTCCCCCCATTCAAATCTCGATCAATGGGAGCTGGGATTTGATATTTTCGTGGTATAACAAACAATTTTTTATTCAATATTCAGTTAGTTTCATCGTGATACAATTCAGTGCAAGAAAAAATGGAAAGACAAATTATTGATGCATATGCAAATTTGTGCAGTTAAAAATACAATTATTATAAGTGTAAGTAGGCTGGTCAGGTAAGGGGAGGATTAGCATTCGTAGGTGCAGGTACAATATTCTGCTCATTTGAGGGGCCATCTCGACGCATCCGTTTTACGAGCTGTGCATGGTGTGCTTCGGTTAGTTGGAGATATGATTTGATGGAGTTGACGTTGGAGTGACCAGTGATCTAGACGATTTGCTGCTTCCCAATACGAGCTTTAGCCAAGTTGGATACTGCAGTTGTTCGACTCGAGTGATTGGTGATTTTTTTACCTTGAGTGTTCAACCCTGCTTTCTTGGCAGCCTCATTGACCCATGTCCCCAGCAAATTTTTCCCAACAGGAGCATTCTTGCACCACCCGATACTGGGCTTTTCCAATGGGGATTGACGGTTAGTGTGACATCCGTCAGAAAATTCATTTTAATTCATTTTCTTACGTCGTCATTCAATTATCTCAGTGATAGAAGCGACTTTTGAAACCCAAATTATCTTCTGTGACGAGGGAAAGTGACCCCCTCGATGTTAGGAATATTTCGGCTGCACACATCTGTGAACGATAAAAATGTTCCCAACGTCGAGTTTCTCCTAGATTAAGGAGATATCAGCTGTGCAATATCAGATGCACTGTACACATTTGAGTCTAGTCTCGTCTCCTTAGTCATGCACTTTCCACGTGTGACCATAAATTTCAATAAACACTGGACTCTTGAACCGGAAAACTGTTGATAACAAATTCTAAGCGTGGGTCCAAATTTTGTAACTCCCACGACAAATATTTGATATAAAAATAGAGTAACGATTTCGTTTCCCACATGGAGGAAATGACATATACATTGACGAACATGTGACACAAAAATAGTAAAATGCATCATACAACAGAATGATTCTTTTATGAATAATTTTCCATTTCGGATATTAATTAAACTATCATAATTGTTTAAGAAATATTATCAACGTGGGAAAACCACAAAATAATTAAAGTTTAAACAATATTTTTATGTCATTGAATTATTATTGAATTACTATTAGATTACTATTTTTCTTCAATGAATTATAATTTATCATAAAATTTCATGAAATTTATCTGAATTGTTTCAAAAAAATTAAATAACAAAGATGTTAACGCTAAGTTGAAAATAAGAGATAAAAGAGAATTGTGGAGGGAATATATGGGCATTCCTAAAACAATTTTCATTGGTTGTTGGGGAATAGAAAAGACCGCCTACACCCCAAAAACATCTTCATGTAGAGAGATGGAGTTGATCTCGAAACAAGGAGATTTCAAACCACTGGAGTGGGAAATTTCGGCTAGAGTCATTTGTAATTGGTCCCCGAAATTTCCCTATGCATTCTGAGGACACACCCTCCTAGATAAACTATAAAGACTTGTGCGCGATAGCAGCACGACAGTTACAGTTCCGATTGCATTTTGTAATCATCGCTACAGTAGTAGTAGTAGCTCATATCTGAGAGTTAGTATACTCCAGTTTCTTTTGGACACGGTTCCAATTTTATTATCGACCTATTAAGGCGATATTTTGGGTTTTTCGCGACCTTTAATTTTCATATAGTCATGAATGACTATTTAATTTCCGTTTTAGTCTTTCGCAACTAAATTATTTTCTGAAATCCCAAGTCTTGTGACATTTTTAATTATATGATTCATTTAAATAAAGAATTTAATCCAACGTCTTAAATTCAGTGCGGCATTACTTTTAACCACATACAAAATACTTTACGACTGAAAGCAGAGCAGTGAATGTAAGTCGAATGTTGTAGTTATACTTTTCTACTTGTTTTGTTAAAATATAGACTCTATTNTGAATGACTATTTAATTTCCGTTTTAGTCTTTCGCAACTAAATTATTTTCTGAAATCCCAAGTCTTGTGACATTTTTAATTATATGATTCATTTAAATAAAGAATTTAATCCAACGTCTTAAATTCAGTGCGGCATTACTTTTAACCACATACAAAATACTTTACGACTGAAAGCAGAGCAGTAAATGTAAGTCGAATGTTCTAGTTATACTTTTCTACTTGTTTTGTTAAAATATAGACTCTATTGAGTCACTTTAAAGTTATTCAAAATTCTTTTCATTTTACTTCAAGTGAACCTTCCCAACCTTTGATTCCAAATACTTTTGGGGTTTAGAAAATTGAAGTAAAAGGGGACCTTTGTAAATGGGTTTTGTGTTTGAATTCTATTCCTTAATTTCGAGACGATCTTTGAATTTAATCTTGTTTTTTTGGTTCAGTATATTGAATTTTAATTTAATAAAGTTGTGTCAAGTAACCCATTCTTGACGTAACAGTTAGAAATAAACTCTCCGTCTTGACATTACTACCTCTTTTTGACTTGAGCTTTTTCAGCAGTCGCACTGGGCAATTCTGCGGATTTTCATCATTGAGGATGAGCCATTTGCTGCTCGCACACTTCTTATCCCCTCCCTGGGTAGTTTTGGTGAATATGGGGTTATATTCAATCCTGCCTGTGTTCCTGCCATCAGTTCCAGTTTCATCGTTGAAGCGGTGTGTCATGGCAGAGGCTCCTTCCCCTCCTCTCCAAGCCAACTCCACTGATACAAGAATAAATAATTTTTTCTGGAGTCCGTCTGGTGTTTCTTCATTGTAGCAATTCACCATCGCATCAATGTCGGTTTTCTCCAAGTCTGTTACACTTCTCAGACGTTTTTCAGGATCATCTTGAAGAAGACGTCGAGAACGGGTCGATTTTCCTCTTAAATTCCGTGAAATATTCATCTTGTAACAACTTAGCTGTTTGATTCCAGATGGTTTTTACAACTCCCTCCTTGTAGTCGCTTCCAAAGGCCTTTTTCATATTGAAAGTCCAATCTTTCAGCATATCAGCGAGAGCTTCGTCTGGAGTTGTTTCAGTCAGCTCATATCTCCGCTCGTCACAAACTCGAGAGAACTGATTCCAAACGGATTTCTTGCTTTTCACAGTATTTAATGGGACACTGCCTTTGACGTTTTCATCAATGGTTTGGAGAGAATCTTCTCCAAATCGCCCTTTTTTTCAATCATTCTTTCAAATGTCACTATTTTTTTATGTTTTTTCAATTGTCTTGGGTTAAAATTCTGCGAAAAACTTGTTTACTGCTTAGCAACAGCCGTGGTATAACCGAAAATTATCGATATCATACGCACCACGTGATGTCAAATCCCACGCTCCTATTGATCGAGATTTGAATCGGGGAATAATCACTATCATTTTATTGATAAATTCACAAAAAATCATAAAATCATTGCCCAGACGGCTCGTTCACATCATTAAGTCTCGCTCTAAGTCTAAGTAGAACTATCTCAAAATCTTTGGTATTCTTCCAACATTTTCAAATTACCGTGCAATACGACAATTTGCTCGAAAATTATCATCGATGATTCAATTCATCACCAGCGATGGCCATCAATCTTCCAATTCTCCAATATTAAAAGAATTTCCGACTTACATCGATCAAGCTTTAAATATGCTAATCGAAATTCAAAAATACTGAAATAATGGATAATGTAAATTTCCAAATGATGGTGAATTAAATATTTAATAATATGAATTTGTTAATTTTCTATTAAGTAAATAATACTAAATTTCTTATAAAGAATTTCTGATTATCCAAATAAATTACTGATTAATAAAGAATTGGGAATTTGAATATTTAACTTGATGATTACTTCAATAATTAAAATTTAAGAGTGATATTAACCAATTGACTACTTAATAATTTAACGGTAATTATAATTTATGGATATGGCTATCCCTGCTCATCACACTGTGACCTTTTTCGTAGTTGTAAAAATATTCGGGAAACATTCATAGTTCTTCAGTATGTTTCCCAAATGATGCAAGTAAGATTCAGTGCGAAGTCCATACAAGTTAGTTTATCTACTTCCAAGATTGAACAAAATCAATTTGTGTGCAATATCAATTTGGATACAGCTGCAATTGAGAAAAATAGATAAACTAAGCATTCGTTCCCTATCATTACTGTGGCCTATAAAACCTCAGAAAATTATCAAATCACTACTCTACCAACTTGTGAAAAACAATGGAATCTCACTTCAAGTCTAAGGTAATTTTTCTAAAACTGTTCAGTATTCATTTAGAACGATAATTAGCTCAAAAGTCATTATTCGATAATAATTATTATTCTCCCTGATTCAACTGATCACACTTAGTTCATATTCAGGATACTCAAGATTCTAGCAATGTGATTCTATCAATCGGTATTTCCATGGATTGGTGCATCAACAAAGCGGACTCCACATATCGATATTCATATGGAGCGATTTGCAAATATATTTATTGATAAAAACAAATTGGATATCTGATATCTACTACCTACCATATTGTCGATATATACGGAAACAAATATTGATACGGCAATACAATATACTTCCATCTTGCTCTATTTCCCTCATTCCCGTCCGAATTATTTCAGTCGAAGTAGAATATATATCGAATAACTCACCTTGTCCTGCTGAAGGCTGTGAAGTTTCCCCGACTCTTCCTGGAGCAATCGATCCAGTTTGTAGAGCTGCTGCACCTTCGCCTGTACATAGAAAAATGAGTGTCTCAAAGAACAAGCACAAGAGTCATTATAATATCGTGTTACGAGTATGCTATTCCGGTTGAAACGATCCAAGTTGACAAAAACAAACCACTGTTTGTTTCTTACTCATCTCTCTTCCTCCGTGTTACTTGATATTCCTAGAGTCAACTATTGAATAACTTGGAGTACGAAATATGGAAATCAGCGAGGAAGAGAAAGGGAGGCCATAATTAAGGGGTGAACAATTAACCAGTTGTTCGTGTCTAACGGCCGAGATAATACGTGGTAGATGGGGAGGCAAACTTCGAGTTAACGCTTCCATTGAAGTCAGTGATAAAATAGCGAGCCCATGGCCCTTTGAATAATTTCCGGGCGAATTAATAGACGGTTTATTTATGTCTACGTAAACACGAAACGCATTTCGGATGATTTCTTTCGTTATTGACCGTGAATTATTCTTCATTCGGGTTGATTTTATCGGGTCCCAGGTTTATCGTTCGATGATAGCGAAATATAAGATTTTTTTGAGGGGGTAGACATTGAGAGTGATGGGAAGAAAGAGTCATGTGAAATTCTGAAATCTATAGTACTTTGGTAGATTATCGAGAACATGGACGGGTTTTAGACGGAATATCAAAGAAGCTTTTTCGTAAAGAAAAGTTACCTACAAAAGAGGTTTTTCAATCATTTTTCTTTCACCGTTCGAACATTACTATTTAAATGTCTAGTAAAAAATCTAAAAAATTTCAATCACTAATTGTGATAATTTCCATATAGCTTGGTATTGACGACCAGTTAATCTTTGGAATATTCAATGAAATCCGAATTTTCAGATCCATACGAGAAACAACTAGGGATGGGCAATGTTTGTCGACTAATCGATTTTCGGTTCTTTTATCCAAATATCGATGTTTTTGACCAAGCTAACAAATTTTGTAATTTTTTTGTCGAATACTAGTATTGATTGATTGAGAATAAAAAAAATTATAATTTATCCGCAATCAGAAGCAATTATTTTGTATAGTATATACGTTATAAATGGGAAATGGACAACTCAGAACAATAATAGTATATATAAGAATCAACAATTATTACGGCTACTGTCCAGCCACTGAAAATATGCAATATATATTTTTCAATTAAAGCCCGGGTGTACTATCTTTCGAACGTTATCTCGATGTTTTTTTTCATCTTTTGTCATCTGAAATTGTCAATTGAGCCCTGCATCACGCAGAAGTTTAAAAAAATTATGAATGAATAATCAAAAAAAAGTAGAAGAAATTCTTAATTTTTTCAAAGAGCATTTTTAATTTATATACAGAATAAGTTGAATAACAAGAAATTGGAAAATGTATCTGATTTAGGGTGACAAATGGCAGCCTGTCACCCAATATCATGCAGGGGGAAGACTGATTTCGTAAATCTTTTCCCACACTGCACAGAGACATTTATTACGGAAAAGGCTCTTTGAAAAAAGTTGTAATATTTTGGAGAATTTTTTAATCACACTTTCATCACATAAAAATGGCAGATGGCTACATACCACTGTTTTGAAAATTGAGATACCTAGCTGTCACTTCCCATGAGGAGTTAGTGTTTTCTTATCCACCATGGAAAATGACAGCTAATGGGTAATTTGCCACAGCGAATCAGAGATTTGTAATTTCCACTTTTTTCAACTGATACTGAATCTCAATTAAAAACGCTCTCTAAGAAAGTTCAGATTTTTTTCTATTTTTTTAAATCATTCTATCATAATTTTTGGGAATTTCTACATGATGTACCGCTTATTTGACAATTTTGGATTACGAAAGTGTAACGTGACATTTTTGGATGGGGGTTAAAAATACCTATTACCTTCGCCCTTCTTTCCCTGAATCTAGTTAAACTCAAAAATTAAAAAATCTATGGGCGCCAGGCAATTTTTAGTTGGAATTACCATACCGGAGGAGTCTACAAAATCAGTTCTAACTAACTCGAAAACCTCTAAAACGTACGTAAGAAGGGAGAAAACTAGATTTTTGGGGAAAGGTAACGGTCCTCGGTTCGCTCAGTGGGCTAGGTTGTAGAGAGAGGGGTGGATTTCAGGTGGAAACGGGTTATTGGGCGGTCAAAACTACAAAAAAAAAGAGATCGACATTGTCCTTACTTGTTCCACTATTGAAATTTCACAATTAAATAATTTACATGATTTTCACATATTAGTCTTACCAAAAAAAAGAAGAAAAAGATTTGCAACAGTAACTATCACTCTTCTAACAAACCGAAAATAATAACTTTGACTCGAAATATTTGGTCCCGACAATAATACATTATCGATTAACTCGGCCACAAAGTTGACGTCATCTAATTCCTCAAGTGGTAATATAAAAATATTCGTTAATCCCGAAATACTCGAGAATTCCGAGAACTGGAGGGAAGGTATGCGAATCCCCGTGAGAGTGAGAGGACATAAACCCAGCGGTATACGTATAACGTACTGCGGGAAAATAAAAATTCGATAAAATGAAACTCGCCGTAGCGGAAAATCGGTAGAGTCAAATTCGAAAAACCCACAGTCAAATTGCTCGGGAAGGTCTAGAGAAGCCCATGATACCAAAATTATCGATTTTGGATCGTTCGGAGCCACTCCAGGTTGATTTACACCCGGAGGGAAATCTTAACGAGGGAACGCTCGCGGGAAGCGGGAGCCGCAGCTTGTTGGCACGGATGGGTGTTAGCGGGGTGCCGTGAGGGGGAAGCATTCGTGGAGAATGCTCGAGCCGCTCTACAACATTTTTCCGTAGAGGGAGAGGGTAGACTCTCTGCTACGGAAGCGAGAGAGAAACGAAGGCCTACATCGAAGATTTCGACCGAGAAAAAAATGAAACAAGCCCAATTTTACCTTATAGCTTCAAATAATTAATAAAGAGAGACCCGACAATGCCGCCGGGGCAGAACCGGACGGAAATTACAACACTGAACCTTTTAAAGGGGGAAAAGAAATGAATGAAAATCGACCAGAGACTCACAGATAAAAATCCGGAGACAATCGACGTCTCAAAAGAAAAGATGTGTAACCAAAAACCACCGATAAATTATTTAACGGCCGCTTAGCCGGACAACGTGAGGGAAACCACCTTCAGGGGAGAGTCGACGCTATGTCAATGGCTCGGATAAAATACCGAAAACCGAGAAAAACTCACTTTTGGGAACTTCTTGGTGACGCGACCATTCTTCCTTACCATCTCGATTTCAAAGCAATGTCCGGGTTGTACTGTGTCCTGGACACTGTAATTCAGGCACCATCCCTTACTCACGCGTCTTCACTTGACCGTGGTCAATACCGAACTGATTTTCGGGGGTCAGTGTCGCATGTCACTGTCCCGAGCGCGAATCCCGGCCAATGAGGAACGGCTCCTGATTGGCGGAGACTCTTACCCATCAAAGGCGTGAACCTTGAGGGAGCCAGCGAATTACCTCGGAAAAAGCAGTGGCGTAACTGCTAGATCCTATACTCCGGTCTGTCTAAAACCCTTCATTAACAATAATTAACTAAATCTGAGCCGAACTGATGAACGTTCGATTAATTACTCTGGATTTCTTAGCGCCTCCCACGGGTCGGTTCTCCGGAAGTCACGGGGTCATAATGAAAGGAACCACTAATCAAAATTTTGCAAAATCTTTAGCCGTAAACACTAACCCATATGCAGTCTGGCAATTCGCTGGGGACAATGACTGCTCTTGTCCCAGATGACCTTCCACCATAAACGTAAAGATAACCAATTTATCTCCCCGTGAACTCCAACTAAAAATAGAGCGCCAGCATTTCAGCTGGACCTAATCGATTCCCCGTAAGATCTGAAAAAGAGCTAACCCCATAGAAATTACCGGATGACTTATAACTTGGCCTTTCTTCGCGATAATTCCATGGGCTCTAAAGAACGCGTAATTATGCAGATTGACGAACTCCAAAACGTACTTAAATCTCGAAATGATATAAATAAATAATAAAAAAAAGGAAAAATCCCCAAAACATTACCACGTTTTTTTTCGGGAAATAGCTAACCGGAATTGCTTAAAATTTAACCTCGCCATAGCGGGAAAACTAGCTGAAGTCCTCAAACAAAAGGAAACGTCGCCGAAGCGGGAAAACTTGAACCTCTCTCTCACACTTTTAACTCACGGATCGGCCTTATGTCGTGGGAGTAGAGTATTTTTCTCAGGTCGTATGGATGTCCCTAACGAACATCCCCACATGTTCATTACAAAAGATTAAAAAAATCCAGATAACATTCAAAAGATAGTACACCCGGGCCTTAATCGACAAGCCTGCTTCGAAATTCAAAATTTGACTCTCTAGCAGTACTTATCATTGAAACGTAAGTTGCTCGGGTTGTATTTTTAAATACATATTTTTAATAAAAAATTTTTTTTTTTAAATTCTGAAAAAAATGGTTTTTTTTTCTGTGTAATGAGAATAAACATCGATTTTTTCAATCCATATTTTTTCCAGAAAAATCGATTTACAACATCGATGTTTTTAAAAACATGGCCCATCCCTAGAAACAACTCATTGAAAATTCAAACTGTCATTGAAACTTCGATAAAAAAAAAGCTCAATTTAGTTGTATTTCCAAGATGAATATGAAATTTGATGAAGAACTCGATCTTAAATTGAATTCAAGTTCACAACACGGGACACTCACAAGCAGCTGTTACGTGAAATTCCGGAATTTCTAACAGTATATCTTCGAACGAGAAGTTGCAGAGGTCCAGAAAAAACTTATAAATTACTTTGTGGTTACCTTTGAAACAATCGTTCGTAGACAAATTGATCGGAAGACATTTTCCATAAAGACATTTGTGGACTTGAATAGAGTTTGGTGGCATTTCTCTCTAAATTCTTTTTACAAATATTTATGAGAATTTCGATATGTTCATGTCAAATTGACTTTGCTACGTAAATAAACATATTTCTATATTTATTATAATTTCCATCAACGACTTCCATGAAAAAAAAACACCGGAAGCACTTGAGTCTTCTTAAGTACCTGCAGTTGTCCATGGTCGGGGCTGAGCCTCGCCCAGTCCCTTCGCTCCTCAACCAGAATCTTCTGCTCTTGTACCCTCTGATTGAATTCTAAACGCTCTCGTTGTTCACGTGTCACGTCCTGCATCTGCATTAGCTCCTGACGAGACCCGGCAACACTTCCGTTCACGCCGTTTCGATTGTACAAGGTACCAAGCTTCACCATGTTGTCCACCAGGTTCACCAATGGCTTCCCCTTCTCATACTGAACAGAATAATAGATTCACAATTTACATGGAAATTCTGTTTTCTGAACGCCATAACAGAATCGAAAATTCAAAAAATATGATGGTATAATTGATATGATGTGTCATGACTAACCACGACATAGTGAATGCAACACAACACATCATTTCAATACATAGGCAACTCAACACAGACAAATCAACAGATCAGGAACTCAACATCCAGGTATTTCACCACCTGTATTTCCACACAAATATAGTCAACACAATGCTCACTCATTACACGTTCACTTGGGAACCATTCTTCGATATTTCCCGCCCTTTTGTCATCCATTTGTCCTCATATTCAATTTTCTCCATGTTCATGCCTCTTTTCTTATTTATGTGTTTTCATGATAATTGCTCGATACTTTGACATGATGTAATTATTTATTTAAAAAATTTTGGATCGCTTCCTTTTCAAGTTTCTCTCCCTCTAAAGAATGCAATGTGATTCTATCATTGTCTAGGGGTCTTGTTTCATTACAAATATTTTGGAAGCGATTAATGCAATCTATGATACTCTCATCATGACTTTTAAATATAGTGTCCCGCTCGGCTTTGTATTTATTGCCTGTGCATAGTGGATCAAAAATTTAGCGCAGTTTATTTTATAATTTCATTCAAGGATTCAAATTCTGAAAATTCAATAGCTACTCTGGCAAGACCTTCGAATTTCTGTCTCAATAGAATTAAAAATGCAGATGTTTAAATATAAGCTGATGAAGGGTCTATGTATTGAATTTGATTTTGTTAAATTTTATTTTGTTGAGTTTGTTACGTGTTGAGTTATCGTGTGTTGAATTTACGAGTTGAATTTATTTTGTGTTTATTATTCATGAAACCCGATATAATGGTATGGGTGATGATTTTTTAAAACAGGGTGGATCAATTTGTTTTGCAGACTAGGGTAATCAGGTCAATTTTTGGACGGAGGATCGTTTCTGGACGATTTCAACTTGCATTGAATACTCCATAAATAAAATGAAAATTGTATTGATTATTCCCCCGATCCCCCTCTACTGGGTTACCACTTTGTCTTTAGTGAGGGGGCTCGGTCGCGGGCGGTGGAGGTCTTACGGACTACCGCCGCCCGCGGTCGCTAAGAGGAGCCCACCCAATCCATGTGTGTGAGCGGCGTAAGCCATGGCCTCGGCCATACCGTGCCTAAGGATGCGTGGCACAGGGGGAGCTGTATCGCTAATGGTGCCTCTCAGAAACCTGGACGATCTCTGAGAGTAGTCTTGGGTGTAACCCACCCGAGACAAGCCAAGCCCTGGGCAATCGCGGCAATGCACCAGGTGAAAACGCTTAACCGCGGTACTCGTGGGACTAAAATGGAAACCAATTTAAAAAATCTTAATATTGAAAAAGCAACTTCGGGTGGGGCCAGCGATGGCGAACACACGAAGTCTGACAAGGCTGACCAGTCTGGTACCGATGTGAATCGGGTCAGACTGAGTGGAGCCGAGAGAAGACGTCGCAAGAGAGCGAAGCTGCATCAAACCTCGGGGGCGATTGCAACCTTGGCGGATGCACCAGCGAAGGTCGATGAGGGGAAGGGGGAGGGGGCTGTGAGGAAGGCAATAAAACGCCCTCCATCAGAGCGTACCACGCCAAGTTCCTCAGTCAGACCGAAAGAAAAGAGAATGAGAGCGCAGGATCAGGGCACATATGCTCAGAATACTGCAAGCTCATTCAAGTTTGCAGTTATGCCGGAGTCATATCCGGATCAGAAACTGGGCACTGAAGAGGTAACGGAGGTGAAGAAACTCCTGAAAGGGGCCATTCTGGCGTTACCTGACGGGCTGAAAGCACCCACCTTCAACGGGGTCTGGGAAAGAGAAGGTGTGGCAATGGTGTGCTGCACTGATGAGGAAACGGGAAATTGGCTGAAAAGCCTTTTCCCCGAAAACAAAATAGCTGGACTTACTGTACGTGTGGTCGCAGCCTCGGAGCTTTCCAAGAAGCACAGGGTTGTACTACGCGTGGAAGATCCAGATCTAACCGCTCAAGAAGGACTGTGCTTCCTTGAGAAACAGAATGCAGGACTGCAGGCTAGAGAGTGGGTTGTCGCTCGGGGCAGTGAGAGTAGGGACGCGAAAAGTGCCCACTTCGTTGCGC